ACATAAACTAACAGAGGAAAATATTCTACACACTGGCAATAAATTTGTAAGGACAACAAGTGTCAGGAACTTTTATTATCAAAGTCTTTAAAAGTCACTAACACAATCTGAAAAAGTTTACCGACTAGTGTCGTTAACTTTCCATAGGAAGGATTTAAAAAAGACTCGAACAATTAGGTACATACAGCGAAGATTTTCATCCACTGAGTGCGTAATGTCTTTTTCGCTGTAAGCATAAATTTGCTGAAATAGATAAAAAAAATAAATAAAAAAAAAAAAGAAGAAGAAAAGAAAAGTTAAGTAGAATTTACAACTTTGCAGTTAAAAGAAGACGCACATGCATGAATGCGTGTGGCATTAATTAACGGTAATAACATTAAATAACTATTAGTTTTCGATTTTTGAAGCATTTAATGCATTGAAAAATGTAACAAAATGTACAAGTTTATCACTTAAAAATGAGTGAAGCTACCACGACTGCAAGACTACACGAATGTCTAACTACTGGAACAGTGGCTGATGTACGTTCATGCAGCTAACTTATACGCGGGAGAAGAAGAGCGGTACCTCCTGGTATTGTTGGCATTCAGGTGTAGTTACTTTAATTTCCGGCAAACTGATTTTAAAGCTTAGCTTACGATTGCTCTAGAATATACAAACGAGACAACCGCTGAACTTTTTTTAAAAGAGTAGTAATAGTAATAATAATAATAAATAAATAAATAAGAATGAACTGACAAGCCATCATCATCATCATCATCATCATCATCGTTCGCATCAGAAGCTAAGCTTCGGCGGTATAAGTACATGTATGTTGTTGGAAACTTTATTGTTGTTGGCTATTGGTGTTGGTACACATAGCGAACACCAACCGTTGAGCTGATAAAGCGATGAATGTTCAATGATTTACATAAAATTCAATGCATTTTTACGTTCATACATATATGCGTCTACCTAAGGCTGCGGTTTCCCTGCTATTGCTGCGATGTTGTTTTAGTTTTTATGTGTATATGTATATATATATATATATATGTATGTATGTATGTGCACGTATTTATATATGTATGTATTTATTTGATATATAATATATGAACTGTTTTCATTTTAAACCTATTTCACTGACCAAGTGTTGTTATGTTAAGTTTTCTTGGTGTTCTTTGTTTTGATCAGATCGCCTTATGTTTTGCCTCTTTTCGTTTTATAGCCTTGAGGGCTTGTACATGCATGCACGTTTTTTTTGTATTGTCAAACTAAATATGAAAATAAAAATTACATCATTAATTTAAGTTTTTTTGCTTTTGTCTTTTTTGCATTCCTTTTTTGCTCATGTTAACAATTAATTGGAATATAACTCAAAAATAAAACCAGCAAAAAACAAATTCCTGTAATTATTTATCCTAAGCATTCATTTAAATAATATTTTATTTACTTATTATAGGAAAAAAAAAAAAAAAGAAATTATAATTTCTCTGTTAATAATAATTCTTTTCACGGACGCCGATGTTACTACACTGTTATTAAATTTAAATTTATTTGCCACATAAAATATATGTATTTGGATATGTATGTATAGTTGTTATAAAATTACTTTTGTGGCTAAAAGCTATTCAGCTTTATACTTGACTTGATCATCAGCTCAACGTCAACATTGAAGTCTTCTTCTTTCTCAGCGCATACAAGAGTTAATCAGCAAATTTCTTCAATCACTTAAAATGCACTATTGTCCTTTCTTTTATATGATATTGATAGTGATTTTTCTAATTTCTCATTAATTCGATGACCATAAGTTAAGTACGGTACACAGCTGGCTGCCGAAATATTAGAAATATTTTGAAGAATTTCTTCAAAACGGAAACCAACGAAATTGTAAGCGAGTCTGCCGGAAACAGCTAAAGTCCGAGGCACTATGACAGTATAATGCTATCCGAAAGTTTATACGTAAATTATTCGGAAATGCGATCAGATAGTTTCTCAACTTGAAACTTTTGGAAAATTTAAAATTTAAGCCTAAATGAATTTATTGAACTATCTCTGGTTCCGATCAGATTTAGCAAATTTACGCATTTTTAAGGCAAGAACTAATGCACTATACAAAACTAGATCTCTCTCAAAACTCACTGCCAAACGATGTAGAAAATATTCAAATACTTTGTCATACTATAAAGTGGAGAAAAATTTCGCATTGATTCCGGGCGATTCGTCTTTCGTGATTGTTCTCAAACAACGTAAAACTTCCTTCTCTTCTTTCTTCTTATTATCCTTACAACTATGCCCCAAGAGCTAATAGCACAATAGATATTTGCTGTGATGAAAATTTAATCTTTGTACGATCAGCTGACAAGAACTCACGATATCTTAACTCGCGCAATGAAAAATTAGTATCCGCTTGATCTGATGGCAAGAATATCAGATTTACTTACAAAACGTAAGGACCTGAATTTTTATATTCGCTAGAACTTGACGAGATATTTTCAAGGTCAACGTTTCTGGTAGAGTATCGGTGATCAAGTCCCTATGCTTATTAATGCGTAAAATTTTGCTGATGAAAATTATCAATGAGATGTCATCATCATCCTAATAGTGATCCATAAAGGTTCTATTTTAGACCCTAATCTATAATTTCGTTGCAATTATTATCAATTATTGAGGCACTGCAATATCCAAGGCCCTCCGCTTGTCAGTAGTTGCCGAATTTTTAAACCTTAAGAGAACTTTTGTTGAATGTTTCCAAGTCGACGGTAAAGATATTCCAACGAAAATCTTATATAAAATCTCTATACTAGTTTGCTCAAACTTGTGCTCCATTTTCAGTAATCAAATATAAATTAAAATATTGAGGGAGCCACGAACAACTGATTCGAAAATTGAAAAACTTCTTGGATTTTTTCGCCGACCCGCGTAACAATTCTTCGTTTATGGGTAAGAAAAACGATTGGTAAATAAATAAACACTATTTATGATCTTCTTCCTTCGTCTTCGAGACAGATACTCATAAATTACCACATAATACTTTAGGAAACATACATTTTATTTGGTTTCAGTTCATTACACTATTTTACTTATTGAGAACATGTTTAGTTATGTATGTATATTAGAGTAACGATGTGGAAGAAGCTAGAGTGGCGAGGAATACCGTAGAATAGTGCAAAAGTTAAATACTTAAATACTAATTTAAACGTGAATTTATGAGTTTAATGAAAGTCTTAACGCTTTCAGTGAAAAATGATGATGAAACTAACGATTACGATAATGACGACTGTAGTAGCGATGAGCTTGATGTTAGATATTCTTGAAGAGGTTGTTGTAAAGTGAGTAAAATGTTAACTTCCCCTTGTTTTCTTCAAGCTAGCAAACAAAACATAAATTAATCCTCTTTAACAAACTACCGATATTGGTTTTAAGCTAAAAACTATAATACGCTTTTTATGTGGATATTATTTTCTAAGCAGCAAAAAAAAAAAGCATCCGTGTGTTTTATAAATATGAAATTAAACTTTAAATAAATTTTATTGCAAAAAAAAAATATATATATATACATATATATATATTCGCCCAGAAGCCTTTTCAAGTCACAAGTTGTGAGTCATTTGCTTCAAGTCATTAAGACTCTTCAAGATCTAGATTAAAAACAGGTTTAGACACCAAGAATCTAAAAGAAATTTTAATAAAAAAAAAAATAAAAAATAAAAAAAAATAATAGTAAGAATTACGTTAAAAGATGTAAAGCATTTTACTAACTTTACTTGAAAAGTTGAAGGCATTAATGCAAACTTTTGTGCTATCATTGCCGATTTCTTGTTCAACGCACAATATACGATAAGATTATTATTTTCGAATTTGTCCCTAGCATACGAAGGACCCTTTTGGTAATGCAAGGCGAGAGCTCAACTCGAAGCTTTGTACAAGTAATAAGATGGTGAGTTTACGAACATAATTTGGGAACTGGTTTTGCGAGTTGTGCGAGCTGCGGATTTCTGACGTGGATTTACGACCCTTTGTTCATTCAAGACCCCTGTTTATTAAACTGTTGGCGTAAAGTATTAAAATATGCTTTAGCAACAGCAAACTTCGCAAATTTTTTAATGTCAAAAATGAATAAAAACGTAATACTTGTACAGGCCGACGTTTAAAAGCCCGTAGTGCCTTGTAACTCTCTCTATATGTACTTCGGTGTATGTGAAGCCGTACTACAAATGGCTTAATCCACTCTATTTTCAAAAAATTCAAAAATTCATGAAAATATTTCGAGAGTCACGACCTGCGAGTGGAACATAACACTACATGGGCAGACAAGAAACAAACACACAGATCGATAAAAAGGCAGATAGACAAAGAGACAAAAAAGATCAGATGCACAAACAGAATGGTGTACAAACAACCAAATGGACGGACAGACAGACGGACAAACAAACACCTACATAGGATTAAGTCGGCACAAAAATTGAGTTTGATCCATTTTATGATAAAAGGTGAATTTATCTCTCATCTCATATATATCCATCGCTATCGTATAAACCGCATATATGTCGGCAAACCTAATGTTGCATAGCCGGTACAACAGAAAAGTGAACATTTTGTCAGGTTATTATTAAGTATGTGCATTAATTTTATGCATACCGATCGACCCAGAATTGTAATCTGAATTAATCGAAGCATGTCTCTCCACTTGTCCGTCCGATGTCTGCCCATATAAATTTGTGTTAATTTTTAATGGCGTTCATCCCAAGGCCAAAACGCTTCAATGTACCAAATTCTATCAATATATCTCAAATTTAGCGACCTGTAAGCTGAACACAAGAAAGCAAGAAGACGATGGTTTTGAATCGGCATAATAACACGTTCCTCTATCCCAATTACTTCTGTGTGTTGCACATATCCGCACAAACCTTGTATACACTAGGACCACATGTGGTGTGCGGAATATAAAGTTGATGTAAAAATAATTTCGGCCTCTGGCACAAAATTTTAAATAAAAATTATTTTTATTTTTTTCTTTACAGATGTCGGTCAACATACAAATCCGCCGGAATTACCCATATTCGGTGACCCGTTTACGGAAATTGCTTTAGATCTAGTCTTTCCCAAGGGTCAACCGATATTTCTATTAAATGGCAAAAGACTGCAGCTTTTACAACCTTTGGATCGAGACGAAGAGAATTTAAGTCACATTGTTTTTCAAGTAAGTGAGAAACAAATTCAAATTCATTCAAACGATGCTGAAAATCTAAAGCAAAATTTTTTTTTTTTTTTTTTTGTTTTTATTCAAATTCCTTTCTTTTTTTTATATATTCTTGCTTTCGTTTTTTCTTTCAATTCTTTTACTTTGAATAGGTTTCATGTACGATACGGTCCTCACAGAAAAGACGCAATATACCGATTATTGTGCGCGTGTCCGATGTTAACGATAATGCTCCCCGTTTCATGAACACACCTTATGAGGTTACAGTGCCTGAGGTAAGTTAGTTTTTTTTTTATTCATTTTGCTATTTCAATATAACAAATGTACGAAGAAACATAAGAACACATAAAACCGATAACAATTAAACCAAATATTTGTTTTATACAGATACACACAGTACAAACATATATAAGTACACATATATATACACATACATATTGCATTATATAAAACTCCTTCAATGTATTAACTTTCATTTTAAGTGTCTGGTAATTTTTCTGCTTTTTTTCTTTTTTTTTTTTTTTTGGCTAGGAATTCTATGAATTTGTAGTTTTATCGTATTCGGTTTTAAGGTGGGTGGTTTTTTTGCGCTCTTACTCAAACTGTCTTGGCAAAGCTTGATGGTGCTCGCATTTCAGTGTAGTGCATATATCTTATCTCGCGCCCACAATTCCTTTGTATTTTTATACCCTACACCACTTCTGGTAAAGGGTATATTAGGTTAGTGCGGGTGTATGTAACACTAAGAAGCACTTAAGATAGCATTTTTTATTATACCGATCGATTCAGAATCATTTTCTAAGCCTATCTGTCTGTCTATTCATCTCTCCGCCTATCTATGTATTTTTGGGTTCATGCCAGACCTCCCAATTTTTGAGATATTTTGATGAAATTTGGTACAAAGACGTACTTTGGTTCAAGTACAAACGCTACTGAAAATGGTTCGAATCGGTTCATTTTTTCGACCGCCCTCCATATAACGCCCTATTTTGAAAAGTGGTTATATGGAAAGAAATTGCACTTTTCAAAATATTTCTGCAAAAGTAGCTAAGTAGTAGTGTTTTAGTATTCTAAATTAATATGAAAATTATGAACTGGGGCAATTTTTAGAACTCTCTCCCATATAACAGTTCCTAAGGAAACTGAAGCCTTACATAGTAAAAAAGTCAAATTTTCAATATTCGTGGGGAAAATTGGCTCAAATGGGCAAAGAGTCTACCTTACAGAAATTGGACCACGTAGGTCTATTTATTGGACACCATCGCATATAAGGATTCTCATGAAGCGTAAAACTTTATATGCCACAAAAAATTAATTGTTAATTTTTTTGCAATGAAAATTTGTTCGTAATGGTAATTAAGTAAAAAAATTAAATGGACACAAGTTCAATCACCTGGGTCTATCGGGTCTATTCTCGGCCCCATTCCATATAAGTTATCTTATGAGTAGTAAGCTCTTCGGAAAAAGGCTTCATTTCTAATATTTTATAAGGAAATTAATTCATGGTAGATAAACGCTACGGAATTTGGATTAGATAGGTCTATTTTTTTCTGGACTCCAACATATATAGGCGCTATCACGAAAAGCAACCTCTTACACGCAGAGAAAATCTGTCCTCCCAATATACGGGTTTCCATGAAAATAATGTGTACTTTTCAGTGTATTATTACCCAAATAAACGGAGTGGTGTAGGATGTGTAATGAACGACTCCGCCCGAATATAATGTTCTTGTTATAGTGTAGTAAGTGAAGTATGGAGGTAAAGTAATTTTATTTTTCCATTTGTGACGCTTACAAATACTCATTATTAGAGGCTCCTAACAGAGGCTCCGACGAATTTGACGACGTCCCTCTTACCTATCTGCCTCTTATTGCAACTCTTACGTTTGTGGAGAGTTGCTGTTTACGCTATAAAGTAACTACTTAGCCTGAGACCACATACAATGCTTGCAACAAGTGAAGGTAATTTGCTCATGAAAATTTGGAAAAAAAATTATGGAAAAAAGCGAAAAAGTTATATACAAAAATATGTAAAATATTTCTATTAATAATTTACCGACTTTTATTAGAAAGCCAAGCATAAAGAGACGTACAAGAATCGTCTGACAATTTGAATAAAAGCCAACTTGGCCCGCTTTCGGGTTTTTTATCACCTTTCCGAACAAGAAAAAATATTGCAAAATTTCTATATACATTCTTGATTACTATAGGATTTATGAATATGCATTAACAACACTTAATTTAATATATCTTTCTTAAGCTATGTTAATACACCCGTCGACGATGGTATGTTCTCAACAATCGCGTTGTGCTAAAATATTTTCCATGTTCTTAGTTTTCTAATCACTATGTACAGAACATATTTTCTTTAGCAGTGCAATTCCCGCTTCCACAAGACAAGCTGGGAAAAACAATTTAAATAGTTGCTGCATAGTATTAAAGAATTAATTTGCGAAAACAATGCAACACCACATAATAATTAAAATCGAATTATATATATATATATATATGCTTCTGCACATAAGTGTTCTTAACACTGTTATATAAGTTTTATTTCAAGCATTTAATGATAACAAATTTTATAATTATAGATTAAAAAATGAACAAAGAAAACAAAAAGTTTTATTTTTCTTTCTTTAATTTACATTAACATTTAAAGATTGCTGCACAGCAAACACAAATAACTAAAATTGAAAATATTTAAAATTTTATTTTCCCTTTTTTACCAGCCATGTATAAGGTATTTGGCATTTCTTCACCTCCCCTTCGCCATTCGTGATGTTGTGTTCTAAAAATAGCCGAGCAGTATAAGGAGATAAGGGGAAGATCTTGTTCTTCTTTTCTTTTTTTTTTTTTTGATGGAAAATGCAGCCCAACGAATCAGCCAGCATGAACTGCAGGCGGAATTTATGGAATTTTTAAGAGTTCGGACATTACGTTGCTAAAGGATAATATGACAAATAGGCAAAAAATGATGAATCTTGACTTTTAAATCAGCGATGTGTACTGCATGGCTGAACTTTGCAAAATAGGTCTTTGCAAAGTTGTTAATTGCAACCACGCAAACGCCGCGACAAGTACGGGGTTGAATGATTGCCGACAGAAGTCAAATACTGATGATTTGGAGGAATATTTTCTTTGTCTTCAATTTTTGCCTTGACACCTTGAGCGGTGTCAGAAGACTCAACCTTCAATGCAATGGTTTTATTTTGTCGTGTCTTAACATCAATATCATTACCGCCAAGTAAACGTAAAACCAAATGGAGAGTCGCGCCCTTTTGTATGTTATAGTTCGTTAGCGTGCAACTATCTTCTAACTGCTTGCCGGCATAAATCAATCGGCGTTGATTTGGTGGAATACCGTCCTTATCCTGAATCTTGCTTTTAATCTTTTCAATAGTATCGGTCGGTTCGACATCTAAAGTAAGGGTATTGCCCGTTAACGTTTTCACAAAAATCTGCATTTTTCAAAAAATCCGCCTTTTTTCACTTCAGTCACAGAGAAAAATTTACTTTTTTAAACTTCAATATTTTTCAATCGAATGTCATTTCCTTTTATTATTTTTTTTTCCTACCTAAGAGAAAAAATTTCCAAAGTCTACTATGCTCAAGAAGAATTCGTTTTGCAAGGTAGAGAAAAGCGTTCTTTGTTGCTTGGTTTTTGTTTTTCACTTTGAAGGCATTAAACACGTAAACAAGTGTCTGCTGGCTTGTTAGCTTACAGAAAAGCTTGCCGGTTGGCGATGTTGAAAAAATCAACATCGTCCTACTTTTCTTTAAGGTCTCGGCCATGCAGCCCGTTTTGTCCGGCATATCATTTTACTGCTGGGAATGATGTGTGATTGATACGATAAATGCAAAATTCTTCCTGAAGCTTCGCGTGCATTTGCGAAATATTCCCTTTATGCCTTGTATTTTTTTATTATACCAAGATAAAATATTTAGGAACATCCTTGCAAAATTTTCATAAGATGTCCGCTTCTCAACAATATATAATTGATCGTAAATAAGCTCGAAAAAATTCGTTACTTTACGCATCTTTCTTAGGTTCTAAAGTAGAAACTCTAAAAATTTAACAACATAGGATCATAGGCTAGGACAAAAGGAACGAATGAAAATGCGCACCAAAAGATTTTAATAGTAAGCCGTTCTGGGTTAACACCAGCCGTGACAAAAGAGCTCAAGTTGCTCCTTTTAATATTCACCATCAAGGACCTGTAGGTTGAACACAAAGAAATAAGATAGATAGACAATCTCGAGAAGCCATTCCGAGTCGGTCGATACAATAAACGACGTCACGTCCTTCTGGGTATTGCATACGTCCACACAAACTTAATATCATCCGCATGAGTAGCCGAGCAGATAAGGCAGTGGTCACGTATTCATATCTTAAACGCGGTGAAGTTTATTTTCGTCGTAGCTATTGTGACTGGTTAGTCACTAAAGCCATAACACATACAGGTTACCCACACATCCATTAGGTTTCAGCTACTTCCCTTTCATCCCTTTTTTGGCCCCTGAGTGTTTTGTCCCCTGAGTGTTTTGTCATTTAATAAAAAAACCAGGTAGGAAAGCTATATTCGGCGGGGGCCGAATGTCGCATAACCGCCACTATGCTTTTCGTATTCTATATTGCAAATTCTTTTATTTGATACTCATATCACTGGTATTATTATTTGCCTTATGATAAACAGGCGAAAAACTTCAAAGAAAAAAAATAAAATTGAATTAAAGAGTAGGGTGTTTCATAAAGTAAATGTGCAAAATTTCGGCCTTCGAACTTTTATAATTTCTCAGTGATGACGAAACACCCACAAATTTTTGGTAACAAAAAAAGGGACCTTCCGTCCGAAAACTTCCAATGTTTCTAACAAATTTGAAGTTGATATCTTCATTTTTGCGGAGAAGAGATGTGCCAACAATAAACACTACAGAGACACACAGAGGGACAGACATGGCTTAAACAGTTCAGAATTTCACGCTGATCAAGAATATGTGTACTTTACAGGGTCTCTGATGGTTCCTTTTGAGTTTTGCTTACATTATGACAACAAAGTAGAGTACAAATGCCCCCTCAGTGGCGGGTAAAAAAAACATGTAACCTTGTGCCACAAGGAGAAGGGTATAAAAAATGTTTTATTAATAATCGAAATTATATATGATTTTATATGATCGTAAACGTACCACTTTTTCTAAGGAAGTCATTCACAGCACAAGTAGGAAGAACTATGCGTATTATGTCGGTGCGTTTAGTATTAAAGAGATTGGTTTTTTTTTTGTATTTACTTTGTTGGTATTATTTGTGCAATTAACTAAGTTGTTTATTTTTAGGTCACAGTGTTGCGTAATTAAAAGAAAAAAAATTATATATAAAGTGTCTCTTTCCGTGAAATTTTTAATTTAAATTTAATAACACTGTAATTAGACATAATGATGACAGTGTAACCTAATTCTTTTTTTCAAAATATGTTTGCTGCTCTTCACTGCACTTCTTAACCAATTACTCAATCAATCTATATAAAAATTATTACTTCCGCATTATTAAATTACCACCGCAAACAATAATAATAAGAAGACTTGCATAGAGAAGAGTGCACGATGTACTTTCTACTTTCTATACGGAATTCCTCCTCCTTTAATCAAATGTTGCTAGCAAGAACGAATCGAAAAGAATTAAAGAAAAAATTGATATTCCGCATACACATCGAATCGTTATTATCCACTACACTATATTAAAAGTTTGCAAGATATTGCGCCTAACAACAGAAGAGTGATAGTTAGGTAATATGATAGATATGAAAATCAATTAATGTAAGATTTTTTTAAACGCCACGCTAAACAGTTTTTTATAATATTTTTAAGCTTTTTTACTTAGCCCAGTGTGCTATCTGTTTTTGAAGAAGAAACAAAGTATATCTTAGGCGTAAGGTACTAACAAACAAACTTATGTTTATAGCTGAAGACATGACATTATAGCAAGGAATTTAAGTGTATATGTATATATGTATATATATATATATAGCTATTTACAAGGATGGTGCATAATGAGATTCGAGCCCGCGACCACTAATTTTCCCTTGTCGAGGAGGCGGTGTACATCTTCAACACAGAGTTGGTAAATACCGTATATACGAATACGAAATAAAGGAGTTACGATAATCTTAAGGATTAATTTCGTGGTGGATCTTACTTATCTTTGACCTATTATGCAGGAAATATGTTTGCGACGAACTATTTACGTGATAAGTGTGAATAGTCCTCGATTTTCTTCAGAGAGGATTAACTGGTCATTTCGCTTTTAATCGATCCCCTGTTCGAGAGGTAGTGGTGGCCTCTTATCACAGGCGGGCATCGATTCGCGTTTAAATAAATCGTTGTGTCGGCGAACACCATGGAGCAGAGACTATGGGCGAATTTTTACATAAAACTTATGCAGCCATGTGACAAGTATTTGCGCTAAGGTTAAGTTGGGATATCGATTATCTCTCATGGCTTCTACTTCAATTTTAGAAATAAACGAAGAGTACGAAACTTCTATTTCAATTTCTTTAACGTTAAGAGTGGGAGATGTATAGTATAAAAACGCACTTGGTCTTGGAATCTTACGATATTTTCATGCAAATATCCCCTTACAGCTTCGCATTATATAGGATGTAAATGAAATTTTGTAGCAAAAAAAATTCGATATATATTTGTTCAGACAAAAAACGTACGGCAAAGATAATTTCACTTAAATAAGATTTTCCATAAGATTTGATTAAAGCTACGCCCTTAACCAACGGGCAACAGACGGGCAACCCTGAGTTTACATTATAGCACTTGCTGCTGAAAGGAGATTGTTTTTTGTACCTTTATTACGTAGAACGAACCCTGGTACGAGATTTGGTTGTTTTTCTTACTAATAGCTTCAAATAACTTAATACCTGATTTGACATTTTAAGCAGATTTAAGAGAATTTTAGCAAAACGAAAGACAGTCTAACATCTTTAACGAGAAAAATTTCTGACAAGAGTTGAGAGAGTTTTATAGGGTTTACGAGATATTTGACAAACTTATTGTATCCTCTCCTGGTGTTTATAATAACTGAGGAAAACGAGTCGAGATAATTAGAGCTTAAATAATACAATGTCATGAACTAGTTTTCACAGTGACTTTGATGAACTTGATTGAGCTGGTTTGTAGATGTGTGAGAAGTGTAAACAAAGCAAAAAAAAAAAAAAAAAAAAAAATTAAAAAAATAAGCAAACAGTAAAAAAAAGAAGCAAGAAATGAAAGGATGTCTCTTCGCTCGATAAGAGATAACAGGAATATATATATATATATGTTGTGATGTTCCTCGTAGACATAGACAGACATCAATCAAATGAATCAAATGAATGATTGTTACTCGTAGCAAAGTTTTAATCGCAAATATCATGGAACGGATGCTACCAAGTGATTGCTAAGAATTCATGGAAATGCACATAAATTTGTCTTTTAAATTATGAGAAAAATTAAAAATAATTTTCATCGCAAATATTTGTAAAATTTTGTTAGAGTAGAGAGCAGTTAGAGTTCAAGACGCAGCACTTACTTACTTACTTACTTAGTTATTTACTATTATTTATTTATTTATTTGTTGTGCCTGTAAGACATTGTATGGTAGTCGGCTTGTTTTTTAGTCAGTTAACTTACTTTATTAGTAGAAAATATTATGTCAACTCAACTTTGAATGATTGCCCATTAAATGAGCTTAAAATGTTTTCACAATAACTAACCACCAGGCCGGACTAAAGGTGGTGCATGGGCAACTTCAACGCCACTATCATATAATTGCCAACTACCAGATTTCATTTAAAAGTTTTTTTTTTTTTTTCGCATAAAGAAAAGGTTGGTTGTGGTTGTGCGGTTAGTCGTTTGGTTTCGATCGTTCGCGTTTGCTCTTTCTTGACTCACAAATAAATAAATAAATAAACAAACAGCATAAGAAATACGCTATAATATAAATATATACAAACATACATACATACATACATACATACATACATACATATATATATATATATATACATAGACTTGTGGCTTTTTGTCACAAATGAAGGTGAATTTGTGACAAAACAGCACTGAAATATTATTATAAGCGAAAGATAACCAAAGTGATAAAAGTTGTCATGACATTTTTTTTTTTTTAACGTTTTATTTATTTTTTTTTTTGTTTTGTTTTTTATTTCTTCAATATTTCCGCAATTGATTGAATTTTCTTAATTTTCTCCAACTCTTTCTATGTTTGCGCCTAAGTGCATTTTTGTCATCAATATGAACGTAAATACTTGTTGAATAAATGAAAAATTTATGCTAACGGTTGTTGCTGCTATACTTACATAAGCTTAATAAGTTTGTTTGTTCGCTTATTTATTTTCTTTTCTTTTCCTTTTTATTTATTTATTTATTTTTGTTTTTTTCTTTATTTCTTTTTTTTTTTTGC